GAGCCGCGCGTGCGTCCGCTCTGGAGCTTCGCGAATCGTCGGGACAGACGCGCGAGAGATCCCGCATCTTCACTCGGCGGGATAATCGCGCGAACCGGTTGTTATCGCAGCACTCGCCGTTACATCGGGAACAATTCCGAAACCTCCTCCGAGGCGAGCTCGTCGACGACATCTTTCACGACGTGACGAGTAATAAATTGTCATGGGAAAAAAAGGAGCGCTTTAGTAGGTTGATACGCGCGAGGCCGGCGCGAGACCGGTTTCCGGCAGCGTTTGATGCAGATGCGCCGAGACCCCCTACGAAATCTTGTAATGAGACGATTTAGCCGCGAAATCTACGCTCAAGTCGAGTGTCTCGACGGGCACTCCCTCTCTCTTTTTCTTCCTTCCTCTTCTTTTCCCTCGAGACCGGTAGAGATTGATCCTCTGCTCTGGGAGAACATCACGAGTCTTTTCAAGTTCGTGCAGCGATCTTATTGACATAGCCGGCAATAGTCATGGAGAAAAAAAAAAGAAGAAAAATCTCCCATGTAAGATCTCAGCTGTCTCCATTAGGCCTAACTCACACTGGCTAGCCGTCCGACTCAAATTATGAATGAAACTTAATAGTCAGCGGTGGAAGTCGGCGTAAGGCTACTCTTTGCACATATGTTTCTCGTCCGAGCGACGGACGAATTGTTCGTTCTCGGACCATCCCATGAATATCGCGCAAGCTGTCGCGCGAACGCGCTCGCGGGGCGTCATCCTGAGCGAAGAAAAATTCGCGGGGGAACGCGACGAGACTGGGAAGCGAACCGGAATTTCCCGGGAGCGCGATATCGTCTAATTCTACGACAGGAAGAGAGAGAGAGAGAGAGAGAAGGATCTCCTCGTAGTGTTTCGCCGTTGCGCGAGCAGACGGAACGACGTCGCCGTTTCTGCCGGCGTTTCAGCCGGCATGACAAATGCCACGAGCCGCGCGCGGTATCGTTCCGCGGCGACAACGCAACTATTCCATTAAAATTCGCAGCGACGGCGACGACGGAGGCGGCGGCAACGAACGATAACGACGCCGACGGTATAGCCGGGACGTTCCGTCGCGTCGTCGTCGTCATCGTCGTCGGCGCCGACTAAGAGCACGCGAAAGTTTCGTCCGCGTGGCGTCCACCGTAGTGCCGCGCGCCACGGCGACTTCAACCGTCGTCGTTGTCGTCGTCGTCGTCGAGATTATATGCGGAATCCGTACCTCGTGGTAAACGGGTTTCTATAGGCTCGTGCGAAATACCGGGTGGCTTGACAAGAGCAATTTATCATGCTCGATCTGTATTTGCATACGTCGTCAGTGAGCCCCGTCGCTCATGCCCGCGACACATCACATAGTCGAGTGCCTTTTGAAATTTGCGTGTTTGCGAATACGGGGCTGCTGCTCTCTTCTCCCCCCCCCCCCTCTCTTCACCCTCATCCTCCCGCTCATCCTCCTCTCTCCTCTCACCGTACCCTCCTTCGTACACATGCACATTACATACATACACGTATAAACGCGGTATGATGATCGCCCTCTGAACTCGGCGACCCTTCTCTCTTTCTCCGCTCCGCGGCGCATCGCTTCAAACGTCCCCGACGAATGCCTGCGAGCTTCTGTTCGAGACAAACGATGCGCGAGATATGAATTCGTGCGCGGGACTTAACTGATCGTTTCGAGGGACACGATCCGCCGCGGTAATCGCGGGGATGCTGGACGCGCTGAAAGAGGCCCGTCGTCTACATATTCTATGGCGCTCGCGGTATTGAGAGATTGAGAGAAAGAGTATGAGAGAGAGAGAGAGAGAGAGAGGTGCGCCCGAGTCTCCCTCGTAAATTCAGTCGGCGTTAGCGGCCGAGCCGCATTCAATTTTCGTAGTCGCGCGTTTACCTGTGAGCGACGGACGGAGGGCGATCGATTCGAAAGACAACGAGCGCGGACTCGGCCGACTCTCTTTCTCTCCCGGCGGGAGATCGTATATCGGGACTATATATAACTTCACACTTCCGACTTTACACACGAGAGAGGGAAATCTCGACGAGTCGGCTCCACTAGCTGCTGCTGCTGCAGGACCAGTGTCCAGTTCTTCTCGGTCGCAAAGTCCCAGAGCTCGGGGGAGAGCGGGGCCGGTGGTCACGCCTCTTCTCAAACGGTCGGCCGGACGCAATCCTCGATACAGATAAGTCATGCCCGTCATTCCTCGACACTCGCGCCCGATTCTCCCGGTGCTCTGTCCCCTTCACCCCCTTCTTGCTCTCAACGGTCACTGGTGATACGTTCTGACTGAGCGGCGACGACGACGGCGGCGACGAGGACGGCGAGGAGGACCGGCGACGGTCGACGACGATTTCTCATCGGCACCGCCGGACTTTTCCAGCGGCGCGAGTTTTATCTCGCGCTTCCACCCTTAATTTGATTAATCGACGAGGATCTTGACCCTCCGCGCCGGCATTAATCACCGTCCGGTCGTATGCATACATGGCCGCGGCATTAGGAGCACCCCGAGACAGAGAGAGAGAGAGAGAGAGGGGAGAGAGACGCGGACGGCTCTCGCCATTTGTTAGAGCCGCTTGTTTAGAGAAGGTTTACACACTCGACCGGCTCTCTTCCGCCCCGGCGCGCGGATATTAATGGAGGATTAATTCGGCGCGAGGATGAGCGCCGAAAGAGACACGTGAGAGAGGTGAGAGACGTGCTCTCCGTACGCGTCTCTTGTCACCTGCCTACCTGCTTACCTCGCGATCTTACCGCTCGGTTGCTCGCTCTCGCTCGTTGCTACCGTTGCTGCATTCGGCCACAACTAATTGCGACTCGCGTTCCCGGAACATCGATCGCTCGACTAGTCCTGTTCTACCTCGAACAAGGTGTGGAAAATCGAGGAAAGGATCGAGGACGTGGAACATTTATTCGTTCGTAAAAAACGAAACGAGTTTCTTCGTTGTTGAATAGTAATTTATGTGAGTAATTTCGTTAGAGTGTCGATTGCATTACGCAAGAGAGAAAAAATTGAGTAAAAAGAAGGGGAAATTTTAATATGCACGATACTTTTGCGCAATATTCGCGCATGTGTTGTAGATTTCTTGGCAATTTTCTTCATCCAATTTTCCATCTTATTTTTCTCGACTTTGAAATAATACGTCGCAAAAAATGCAGCACGGCGCGACGATGTTAACACAACACGGTCACCTGCGGACGGGGAAAAACGACCGCGATTAGAAAAGATTTTCAGTCGCGTTCGACCTGATTTCGAGTCGATGCCGGTGGCACACAGACCCTTGCCGCCGCTGCGACGAAGGGTCGCGCAGGTCTTGATTTACTAGCTGTTTATACCCTTTGCAACCCCTAGCGCCTGCATTATAACCGTATTTATACTAATAGCTTCGCCCAAAAGTCGTGCCTGAGTTTTCGCACAGGCCTAGGTGTGATTTACCGATACAGTATATTACCGCTATTAAGGCGACTACGAGGAAAATAAAAAGCCGACACAATAGCTGCGTGTACGCCGCGTTCGCAGGTCGAAGGGGTAACGACGGTGACACCCGGCTATTACCTGTCAGCCCGTAAGATTATGACTTCCATTCCAAAGAGCATCGAGAGGAGACGTCTTGGGAAATGTGCCGGGATATAAGCGCGGGACAAGAGTAGCAAATCAGCGATGTCTGTTGATGGAAATTAAGTCGCGTCCGTTTATCTTGCCACTCGGAGAATAAATTCTCGAATGATCTGAGTGATAAACGAAAATAGTTATATGCGCGGAATAAGCTTTCGATTATAAACGCGCATTAACATATGGCAATATCATCGATAAGAAAGATTGGCTCTAAAAATCGTGTCACGAGATGCTGGACGTGAATCTGGACGTTGACTGGATCTTAGCGCGAGGATGAGTAATTGTTCAATAGTATAGTACATTTGCCATACCGTTTGATTTAATAATAAAAAAACACTCATGCGATAAATAATGTTACAGATATCGCGTATAATATGCGATGTGATATATTCTCAATAATTAATATTAATTTATTCCTTTAAAACTATTTTCTTGATGCAGAATCGTACTACATCTCGGGACCAGCAGCTCCCGAGGATGTTTCGCTTTTCTGTTGTCTCGCGTTACTAAGACGGAAAGGAAATACGAAGGAAATACGAAGTAAACATATAAGGCTATAACGGCTGATCAGAGATAATCACCTCTCGCGAGCGACAACACGGAACATGTGATTCGCACGCATTACAGGTGTGCCATATGACTCGCAACATATATATATATATATATATATATATATATATATANATATATACCTATTTTTTATATTTTTATCTGATGCACATATGTTGCAAACTTGAATAGTAATTATCTCACTTGAGTGCTCTATTCACATTAACCGCAAGTCAATTTGCAATTGAGAAAAAGCAAAGAGTTTTTTATTTGTTACGAGATTGCCGACGAAGTAGCGCGCAATTAAACTGATTCGCGGACAGAGACACGCTCGGGGGAGAGACGCGGCGGAAGGAAGGAAGGAAGGAAGGAGAGACCCGGCGCGCTCGGGATCTCTAGTAACAGGATGTAATTATGATCGGTGAGATACGTCACGCATAACCCCCGTATTGACGTCCACAAATCACGGCGCACGGCCGGCCATGCGGTATCTCGCCACTCGGGGGGGACAATCCTCAAACTCAGACAGCCTAACGCGACACTAAATCCAGAATTATGTACGCCGCCGTGGACGTCGACGTGGACGCGCGGAATCCTCCCGAGGATTCGCCGTGTCAAACGTGGGAAATGTAACGCCTCCGAAATTAGCACTTAAGGCGCGCTCCGTGAGATGCTAGGCACCTGCCCGATGAGAGACCGAAACGTATCCGGATTGCGTCCGCGTCTCTCTCGGCCGTGGCCATCGACGAGACAGAGGATTTCGATTTTTACTTAGAAATTAAGGAGATACAGATGATGACTAATTTAAAGATTAACGACATGTAATAATAAATATATACGTGTGATAACAAAAAATATTTTATTCATCAATGTTGTGAAAATCTGTCATACAACATCGTTTTGTTCTTCGCCGATATGCACACAGGTCGCAATATTCCAGTCGTCCGACGAATATTATTTCCGACACTGGTTTGCTCGTAACGCTCACTCTTTCTTCGATCTCTTGTAAGCATTCTTGTAGAAATTATAAAAGAGTACCAAATTGTACATACCATTGACAAATACTATTATACTGTAGCATTTGATCTTCATGTTACAATCCGAAAGAACTCCTTGTGTGGCGGACAACGTTATCAACAAGATTTGTGCCTGTTAAGAGAAACAATAATACTTAATATTGCTATGAGGAATGTCGCGGCATGTCGTTGGTTAATTTGGTTCGCACTATTACCATTTGCAAAATAGTGATCCACTTCTTGAACGGATAAAACTTCTGTCTATTCGATTCGTAAGTGCTCAAAAAGTAATATATGTACATTATCGTGTGCATGCAGCAATTGAGCATAACCATAAACAGAATGTGACCATGAAATAAATACTTCATTACAGCCCAAAGAAATAATGGCGTGGTTGTATGGTGATAAACGTGTAAAAATGAAACTTGAGTCTTCTTTTTCCTCAACAAGAACACTACTGTCTCAATGAAGTCGATCACCCTGAGCCACATAGCCAACCACACAACTTCAAGTTGCTGCAATAAAAAATCCCTTTCGTTTCCTCGGTTGATAGGTTGATCATATTTTATCGATATTTAAAATGACGTAGAGTTGCGCGAATTTTGGTCGAGGTTATTAGTACATAAATTAAGTTATAATGCAAAATCGATCGATCCTCAAACGCATGCGCAAATACATAAGCAGACATATTAGCGAATTCATTTCGACTCAGATCGATTGGTAACCCGCGATCGTGACTAAGAATCTTAAGAGTACTTAAGGGGGTCATCCCGTGTGACGGCTTCAAAAAATCGATTTTCTTTTGCATAAATCTAATCTAGAGCGTGCATAGAATATACTGGCAAAGTAATTTTGGCAAAAGATTTTTTAAACTGGTGCCCATGATTTTTTGAAAACGGTTCAATGGATTTAAATAAAATTTTAATGATAGATTCAGCACATGTGTGGCTATCGTGGGAACTAGGATTTTTTTGAAAATATTAAAAATTCAATTTTTCGCATGTTTTTAAAAATTATAACTCAAAATAGCATGATTTTTTGCGACTATTTTTTTATGCGGACAGAAAACTGTTCAATATTTTTTAAAAATTCTAGTTCCCACGATAGCCACACATGTGCTGAATCTATCATTAAAATTTTATTTAAATCCATTGAACCGTTTTCAAAAAATCATGGGCACCAGTTTAAAAAATCTTTTGCCAAAATTACTTTGCCAGTATATTCTATGCACGCTCTAGATTAGATTTATGCAAAAGAAAATCGATTTTTTGAAGCCGTCACACGGGATGACCCCCTTAAAAGACTTACTTTTACGAATATCGAGTATCGCTCCGAGCTTATCTTTTGATTCTCGACAATTCCACTTTCAAGTTTAACGTACCTTTATAGTATTATCACCGCAAATTTTCTCCATAGGCTCGCAGTATCGTGATATGACGGACCAAGACCCACCGATCGACACTATTTTGTACGAGAACCAAAAGTTGGCCATCACTTGAAAGATATTGTAGCACTGCATGAATCCCTTCAACGAATACGCTTTTCTGTTCCTCATAAATAGCGGGATGATGACAAAAATAGTGAATAAATAGACGAGCACTGAGCCTACCATCGGCGTAAACGAACGCATCGATTGCCAATCCATGATGGGTGATTCTCCAAAATCTACGTAAACACAAGCTAACGTAATTTCACAGCGAGAGAAAAAGAAAGAAAGAACGCAACAAAAAAGGTCTCCGTGCTATTATTCCAACAAATTTCGAGATATGCAAAAAGGCACGGCTACAATATACACGACACATTTGATACTTACCGAACATATTTCACACGTTACAATTTTACTGCTTTGAGAGAGTTATAAGACTGTCTTGTCTGCTATGTTGCCCGTCCACTTTTATTATGAAACCGGTTAAGCAGTGAGGTTAAAAACAACACTGCCTCATATATATTCGTCATATATATTCATGAACAAAACACACATATAGGTATTACTTAGGAAATACTTCACGTTTCGATTATTTGAAGTATTAATTTAACTTATATATATATATATATATGTATATATGTACATATATATATGTATATAATACATATATATATGTATATAATATATATATATGTATATAATGCATATATATGTATATAATACATTATATATGCGTTATATACATATATATATAAAATTTAATTATATATATATATAATTTAATTATATACATATATATATATATATACCATTTAATTCAACAAAAATTTGAATAAAAAATAATTTTAAGAAACTAGAACCGGAACCGAAAAAACCGTAATTTATATATTTCT